AGGAAGGAAGTAAGGAAGGAAAAAGGCTGAAATGATCTGTGGCCCCATTTTATTTTGGTCCGGAGAGAGGTCAGTTTGGAAATTCACTTCACATTGTCTTGCAGTGGAATCTGGCCATCCCTGTTTGATTTACTGTCATGCCCTGGATATCTTCATGATCTGATCTTTTCATGGTGAAAAATAACATGGATTTTTTTAAAAAAATAAAAGAGTTAAGAAATATCCACCCCCATAAATTATTATTCCCCTCTCAGTTGCATTGCTGGATCACACATATGATTGTGCGGTTGAGATGTGCCCCAGCACCTTGACAACTAGCCATAATTGGCTGCAGGATGTTGTGTGAACTGTACACAAATTCAAGCACAATTTTGTCCGTTATGAAGCGTCTGTACATGTTGAGAGTTTGGTACTGTACTGAATTCCAGTACAATGCGCAGCAGAAGTACCAGCCGGTTCAGGCAGAATTTAGCTAGAATTTCCCCTTTGTACCCGGCCCTCACCAAACACTAGCACTTAAGAAATAACACTCAGAAGGCCTTATTTTGTATAAAAGAAAGAAATCTATATTCTACTCACGAAGATAAGCATTTAGGTTTCAGGTGGATACAGGAATAAAAACAGCAAATACAATGTCCTTCTGTTCTGGCCCCACATGGCTGGAGGGGTCTCCAGGCTCAGTGGGCCGGCATGGAGTCTTACATCTTTCCAGGTGAAAAGCGTGTGCAGGAATGGTGACCAACAATGGTGGTTCAAACACCTCATGGCCAGGAGGGCCGGAAACAGGGGTGGAGCCTCCCTACCTGATTGTGCGGTTGAGATGTGCCCCAGTACCTTGACAACTAGCCATAATTGGCTGCAGGATGTTGTGTGAACTGTACACAAATTCAAGCACAAATTTGTCCGTTATGAAGCGTCTGTACATTGTCCCTTGGCTTATTTTGGGCACATTGTGTTTTCTATTGCATTCTAGCTCCATATTGTGAAAAGGTCTTATTTTAATAACAGAATGGGGATGGGATCATATCCTCCTTTCCTACCATAGGGCCAAGGGTGGGTCTTCTCTTTATCTAATCTTCAACACAAACCTGTGAAGTAAGTTAGCAAGTCGCAAAGTGATTTTCCTGGTTAAGTGAGGATTTGAACCCCGCCTAGTTCCAACTCCTTGTCAAGCATTCCAGCTACTCTACCAGCCACACCCTCCTAGGAAAGCTTCGCACTATTTCCCCCCACCAGAAACAATTATTTTCTTGTTTGTTTTTAACTAGTGGGACTATTCCTCAGTTTAAGGAAATTTATAGTGAGTCCCATTCATGTAATCACATAACTAACCCTTTGTCTAGCTGACAAAAAGAGTGAATGGGAGATTAATATCAGAAGAGTTCCATGGAATCGTGTGAGAATCAGAGGAAGTGACAGCAAGGCCGAGTCGGCTCAGAAAATAATTTGAAATCTGAAGTTAACAAAAAGTAAGAGGGATACAGAAGGACTGCAAAAGATTTATAAACAGTATAGTGTTAGGAAGGACGTCCCTAATGCTGCCTTAGTTTATTATCTATGTTAATGAAATGACTACTTGCTCCAGTTGTGCTTCATAACAACCTATTTACTGTCATAAATATTGATTTATTTGGGTCAATGTAGCTTTCTGTTGCAGAAAAAATATATATCTTGTAACATCTTAAAGGTTAAAATACTGATTATGGTACAAGCTTTCCTGGTAAAAGAATTCACCTCAGCAGATGCAGCAACAAAACTAGTACAGTGGGGTCTCTACTTAAGAACGTCCCTACTTAAGAACAATCCAACAACTAGTGGGACTATTCCTCAGTTTAAGGTAATTTATAGCGAGTTCCATTCATGTAATCACATAACTAACCATTTGTCCAGCTGACAAAAAGAGTGAATGGGAGATTAATATCAGAAGAGTTCCATGGAATCTTGAGAGAATCAGAGGAAGTGACAGCAAGGCTGAGTCGGCTCAGAAAATAATTTGAAATATGAAGTTAACAAAAAGTAAGAGGGATACAGAAGGACTGCAAAAGATTTATAAACAGTATAGTGTTAGGAAGGACGTCCCTAATGCTGCCTTAGTTTATTATCTATGTTAATGAAATGACTACTTGCTCCAGTTGTGCTTCATAACAACCTATTTACTGTCATAAATATTGATTTATTTGGGTCAATGTAGCTTTCTGTTGCAGAAAAAATATATATCTTGTAACATCTTAAAGGCTAAAATACTGATTATGGTACAAGCTTTCCTGGTAAAAGTATTCACCTCAGCAGATGCAGCACCAAAAGTAGTAACAAGTGCATTGGCTAAAATCCTATCACTATTTTACATTAATGTAACAGAATCATCTGCCTTCTGGTGGTGAATTGCAACAAGTTGAGAAGTCAGCATAGGCAGTATCTGTTGTGGGTTGAAACGTGCAACTCCATGTGGTCGAAATAATGTCTATGGTTAGTTCATTACCTATAGCAACATGTTCCAAAAGTTGTTCTGCTTGTATTACGCTCATGAGAGTGACTAACAGGATTTTGGCCATTGTGGTGTAAGCTGTTAGTCAAATATAAGACAGCATTGGCTAAAATCCTATTGCTATTTTACATTAATGTAACAGAATCATCTGCCTTCTGGTGATGAATTGCAACAAGTTGAGAAGTCAGCATAGGCAGTATCTGTTGTGTGTTGAAACGTGCAACTCCATGTGGTTGAAATAATGTCTATGGTTAGTTCATTACCTATAGCAACATGTTCCAAAAGTTCTTCTGCTTGTATTACATTCATGAGAGTGACTAACAGGATTTTGGCCATTGTGGTGTAAGCTGTTAGTCAAATATAAAACAGTGCCAGCTCTTTTACTCCTTGTAGTGTATTGATCAAGAACTACCAGCATAACATGGCTTTGGCATTTGCTGTAGAAGAAATCAACAAAAACCTGACGCTCCTACCCAATATCACCTTGGGCTTCTGCATCTATGATAGCTACTTCAGTGAAATGTGGACCTATCGTACCACTCTGGAATGTCTCTCCACACTCAACAGATTTATTCCAAGTTACAAATGTGATAACCATGGTAGTTTGAAAGCAGTCATTGGGGGACTTTACTCTGAAATATCCCTGGTGATAGCAGCTGTTTTGAACATCTATAAGATTCCACAGGTGAGATTTTCTAAGTATGTGAGTGTGATAATACAGTGTGTAATATATGAAGGAGTAATATATGAAGGAGTCTTCTGACACAGTGTAGTGTGGAGTAAGTAATTGTATGCCTGAAATATACACCCAGACCATACTTCCAGTCAAAGATGAATATCCATCTTATGAAGAGGAGGATCCTTTTAGTCTCTGTTTTACTCTGTATATGAAGTAACAGAGAACTGCTAGTCCTCACACTGCCTCAGACCGTATTTAGAGAAGTCAATGAAAACGTATGACTCTGATTTTGTAGTGACTGCAAATCATCTGGAGGCTCACAACTGGCAACCTTTTTTTAAGTTTATTTCTTTGATGCACATTTACTCCTAGGTCATGTTGAGAATATTTCATTTTCTTTCTCTTTATTCATTTCTATAGTTTACATATGGCTCTGCACCAGCTGTTACTGGCGATACCAAAGCCCTTCCCTTCTACCAGATGGTAGCACGTGAAGCCATTCAGTATGAGGGGATTCTCCGACTGCTTCTGCATTTCAACTGGAGGTGGGTGGGGCTCCTGATTGCAGATGATGACAATGGAGAAAGGTTCTTGCAGGCAATGATTTCAAAGTTTCCAAAGGGTGGCATTTGTTTTGCTTTAATAAAAAGAGTCAAGGCAGCTCATATCAAAGAGGTTTTTGACATGCTGATATGGAGTGCAAAGGTGTATGATGAAGTGATGGGGAACAAGGCCAATGTATTTATCTTCTATGGAGAAACTCAACCCATGATAAATTAGAGATGGTTGCTGTATCTGCCAGAAATGGAATTCACAACAAAGCAGGCCAGAGGTAAAGTGTACATTTTGACAGCTCAGAAGGATTGCAGCACTGGCCTATCAAAGGAGCTGGGATGTACAACCCATCCATGGTGTTTTGTCATTGGCGTCTCATTCAAATGAGCTACAGGGTTTTCAGAACTTCCTTCTAGCCAAAACTCTTTCTGGAACCACCAATGATGGGTTTATTTTAGACTTCTGGGAGCAAGCATTTGCCTGTGTGTTCCAAAATCCACAAGCAGACAGAAAAGCAGACGAACTTTGTACAGGGGAGGAGGGCTTGGAAAGCTTGCCTGGTGCTGTCTTTGAAATCCGTGTGACTGGCCACAGCTATAGTACATATCTATAATGCTGCCTATACCATGGCACATGCTTTACATGCCATGCAATCATCCATTTCCAAACACAACATTTTGAACTTTGAAGGGCTAATGAAGCTTCAGGATCAAGAACCATGGCAGGTAATATACCATCCCAGATGCCTCCAGAAAAAGGAAATGGTAAACTATTTCTGAGTATATACTACCTATAAAATCCTGGAATGGGACATCATGTCAGAATTAACTTCACAACACATGACTATGATTTCAGCACCTTGGATAATTCCTGTAAATGCAAACCAAAGCTGAGCATCTCTGAAATGGAGTCTACTTCTAGTTGTATTATTTTCCCTGTGTTGATTGAGTAGACAAAGGAAAGGTACCTGAATAGAATGTCAGTATGAACAGGAGGCCATGTTCCATTAAAATGTTGCCATGTTCTCTGGGCAACAGCTGAGATTCATTCCAATCTATTTCCGAAAGTATTGGAGGGAAGTGCATCTAGAAGCATTCCCTCATTAACACATCCTCTGTTCCCCATTTTAACTGTTTTTGAACCATGTGGAGCACTAGTAAAGTTCAAGACACTTTTCCCACCATTATTATTTTCTAGAGTGTTTGAGATAGGTGCTAGTATGCATCACATTGTTATTATAAAAATAGAAGTACTTCTTTGTCATGTCCTGACAAACCAGAATGAGGAACCTCAAAATATATTCTCTTCACATCATTATGGTTGAGGCATGTTGTTATTATGCTCTCAACAAAAGAAGAGAACACTTACTCCCACCCAGTTCTACCCGTGTCATTCGCGCGAGTCAGGAGGTGAGGCTGAGGAGCCTGACACCGAGGGAGGCCTGGAAGGAAAAAACAAGAAACTGGGCCTTCTCGGCGGTGGCCCCTCGCTTCTGGAACAACTTGCCTCCTGAGATTTGCGGAGCTCCCTCGCTGGGTATTTTCAACTGAAAATATGGATGTTTCCCCCCCCATTTAATTTCTAATTTTCTTCCCCTCTTTTTCTGTTATGATTTATTTTATCTTTCTTTCCATCTTGTAGAAAAATTTTCTAATTGTGTAAACTAATTTTTATATATATTTCTGTTTTCTATTTTGTGTTGTAAGCCACCTAGAGTGGTCGCAGTGACCAGATAGACAGGGTATAAATGGAATGAATGAATGAATGAATGAATTTAGAATTATTATTTTCCAATTCTTTGTTCATTTTTTCATACACAGTTGTTTTTACTAAAGGAAGGAAGGAAGGAAGGAAGGAAGGAAGGAAGGAAGGAAGGAAGGAAGGAAGGAAGGAAGGAAGGAAGGAAGGAAAACTGCCACAAGGGAGACTGTTATGCCCTCACTCCCTAATTATGTGGTCATTTTCCCCTTGGCTCCCATGTTCCAGTGTATTGGTGTCCATGATAGCAAAAGGAATTTGGTAAAACTGGGAAATTAGGCTATCATGACCTGAAGATAAAAGCTGTGAAATACTTCAAATTTACCATTCTCTATTACCACTGCAAATAGAACATAATCTAGAAATAGAACATAAAATCCTACTCAGTACAAATGTGTTTAACTAACTCTCTCTTGTGACTTGAGCATGGATAAATTGGTGTAGAGACATTAGGGAAAGAAATGGAGGTGAAAACGGAGCAATCTGAATCCTCTTTCAGAATCAGAGTATCACATTTCTGGAAAGAATATATGTTACTTGCTGTAATGGCTTCCCATTAATATTTTAAAGATTTCCACTTAATACATGTTCCTTCCTGTTTAGTTCAGGTCTAAATAATATTATAAAGCATTTAGGGAAAAAGTTGAAACTCAGCAACCCAGTACTAGACGCTAGAATAGCAAAGATCTCTGTTGCTGCCATGTTTTTGCCCTTGGTGCTCAAGTAAGTTGGAATAAAGGATATCCAAACACTACAAAAGACCAACATGCTGAAACTGATGAACTTGGCTTCATTGAAACTATCTGGTAAATTTCGGGCAAGAAAAGCCACAGTGAAGCTGACAAGAGCCAGGAAACCCATATAGCCCAAGACACAGTAAAACATGACAGGGGATCTCTCGTTACATTCCAGTACAATTGCCTCTGGTATGAAATGCATGTCAGCATTAGGGAATGGAGGGAAGAAGACCAGCCATACCGTGCAAATACCAGCCTGAATAAGGGAGCAGAAAAAAACAATGGAGTTGGCCAGTCTTTTCCCCACCCATTTCCTGATCCGGGATCCTGGTTCAGTGGCCATAAAAGCCAGAACCACAGTGATGGTTTTTGCCAACACACAAGAAACAGCCACTGAGAAGACAATGCCAAAAGCAGGTTGTCGGAGAAGACACATCATTTTCTGAGGCTGGCCTATGAACAAGAAAGTACAAAGAAAGCAAAAGAGGAGAGAGATGAGGAGAGTATAACTGAGGTCCTGGTTGTTGGCTTTGACAATGGGAGTGGTGTGGTGTTTTATAAATATTCCCAGCACCAAGGCTGTGATCAAGCACAGAGAAACAGCAGAAAATGATAAACTGATCCCCAGAGGTTCTTGATAAGACAGGTAGCTTATACTCCTTGGAATACACAGATCTTGTTTTATATTTGGATAGTATTCATCTCTGCACTGATAACAATCATTCATGTCTGAAAAAGAAAAGATAGGGTCTTAATGTCTCCCAGTTATGCCATATATCTCTCCAATGTACTTCAATTGTTTGTTTCACAAACAGACATCTCAAATTGAATAAAACATTTTTTAAAAATAAAATAAACTTCTAAACCCATATCACAAATCCTTAGAAAACTTTTAATATGGAAACAAATGACAGCAAAGGTATCTTACTGATGTCGTAGGGAGTTAATTCTTTACTGAGTTTGTCTTCATCCATTCATTTTTTTCTCTTACCTTCCTGTCTCCGAATAAAGTCACTCAAGGTCATTTACAACTTGATAGCCCACAACAAGACTAATAGCAGCAACAATATATTTCTTACCCTCTTGGTCAGAAACCTTCCCTTCTGGACAGGAGATGCAGTCATAGCAACAAAATGGCTCCCCTTCCTTCATTTTCTTCCTATATCCAGGATAGCAAATGTCCTGACATCGTGAAATAGGTTGTACCTAATCCAAAAATGAAACAAAACAAAATGAAAAACAGAATCAAAGATTCATCTCCGAAACACTGTCTGAGATGCTGAAATCACACGAGTTGCTGCGCAAGAAATAATGTCTACAGAGATTCCTTAAAGGTAAAGGTAAAGGTTTCCCTTAACAATTTTTGTCCAGTCGTGTTCGACTCTAGGGGGCGATGTTCATCCCCATTTCCAAGCCATAGAACCAGCGTTTTGTCTGAAGACTATCTTCCGTGGTCACATGGCCAGTGCGACTTAGACATGGAACGCTGTTACCTTCCCACCAAGGTGGTCCCTATTTATCTACTTGCATTTGCATGCTTTTGAACCGCTAGGTTGGCGGGAGTTGGGACAAGCAACGGGCGCTCACTCCGTCGCGTGGATTTGATCTTACGACTGCTTGGTCTTCTGACCCTGCAGCACAGGCTTCTGCGGTTTAGCCCGCAGTGCCACCACATCCCTTAACTTGAGGCAATTCACCTCCAAAAATCACACTTTTACAACAGGATTTCAGTCAATGAGCTTGGAATCCCTAAGCTGTTGGAAAATTTGCATATGTTACAGGAGACATAAAAGAAACAAAAAGATCACTTTCTTGTTACTGGAAATGCAGGGTCAATGGCTGTAGCTACACCTTTGCAATAGCCTGGAGAAAATAATATTTACTGTAGGTTGGCTGCAAACAAGTATGTGAAATGTGCAGAATTTTGCTTTTGCTACAGTGTCAGCCTTCCAGTTCCTAGGGGTAGAAATGCATGAGTTGAGAGATATTTTCTGGGACCCAAGGAGAATTCTGATGCCTTGAGGCTGAACAGACAGATAAGCAACAGGGTAACGATTAGAGCTGGGCTTGAGTGTGTGCTCCTTGTGTTTGCTGAGCACAGAGAGAATTGCAATGCTGTCTGCCTAGGACCAACCTTCCACACGATCATTTGTTGAGAATATCCATGGGATGTTGTTTGAGCCAGTACATTACATTGGCTATAACAAATTTGTATCTCATTGCCGCCACCCCCCCAAAAAAAAACCCTCAATGGATTTGTTAATATACTTTTTACCTTTGTTGGTTTGTTGTGGAGGAGGAAGCCCTCTATGTGGCAAGAAGGGGCATTTTTTAGGACACTTAGGTGATGAAAATATCCCATCCTGGTGCAAAAGGGCTAAAATGAAACCCTTTTTCTTTTAATAACAAGAATCCTACAGACAATTTGTTCCAGAGAAAGTTAAAATACCATGGGGTGTGGTGCCAAATTGCAGGTAATTAATAAGGTGCCAGTTATGTGCCTCAGGCCTGATCCGCTGGCAAGCCACGCTTCAGCAGTGCGGGTCAACATTGCCTTCTTCCTGGATATCGTGAGACAATGGAAGTCTCGTGAGAGAATTCCAGGATGGGAGAAGGGGGAAGGAGTGAACCATTTAAGAGGTGTTTCCCCCCTCCCTCCATCCTCTTCCTTGCTGGCAATCCACCCACCCATCCTATTTAGTAGTGTGAGTTTATGTGGTTGCCGTCAGGGCCGGATAGGAATTTTTGACCTGTATCCTGGTTGGCTTTTGGATGTGGGGATTTTTAGCCTATCACACACTGTTAAGGGTAAGAAGGCATTTTGAGAGGTGGAAGGTTTCGGTCACGGGGGGGGGAGGGCAGACAGAACAGGTAAGTCCCATCACAATCACAGGTAATGTACAGCTCATCTCACCTCCCAGTGCTGCGGATAGTACGATTACAGTGCTTGAGGGGGAAAGATGTGCTGGGGCCACATCCGGACCAACAGTCAACAAGCAGAAGGTGGCTTGATGTCTGCGGGTGGTCAAATTTGGGTCTACTGTGTTCTCGCTGTCTTCACGACTGCGAGAACTTGGGGCTAGGGGCTCATCCACTTGCTTTGTAAAGGGTCCGTTGAGACCTCTGTTCTTAAACCAGATTCCACACTATGGCAGGACCCCCCTTTTACGGTGGGCAAGAATGATTATTTAATAAAATGTGGCCCATGTTTATCCCATATTATTTGTCTTGTGTCATTATTCTGGGGTAGGGGGGCAATGCCAGGTACTACTTTTGCCTTGTTCATTAGTTGCTGTTTACCACCACAACTTCACCCACTGTAAAATTCTAATAGGATTAAGCCCAACAGGCCTGCTCTAGGAATTATCAAGACTGATTTCAGTGGAATGTATTATCTTTGGTAACAGGACTCAGAGCCAGTACTAATTTAAAAAGAAAAGCTTACCCAATTTAAAATTTAAATTAGATCATACCTCATTAAACCAAGTGTTCCACACTATGGCATTCTCGTTGATGGTGAAGGCTTGATCTCCGACAGCTTTGGGATCCAATGTCCCAACCTTCACTCTAGCAAAGGATTGGTTCGAAGAAATGACCCAGTTGACAACATCAAAGCCAGCCACTAACTCCCCATTCTGGTCAAAGGAAACCTCGTCTCCAGCACTATTGTTAAATGAGACACTTCTTAAATAGTGATGGAGCTAGGAAGAAACGGAATCAAGTTTTCAGTTTAATAATTCAACAGCAGCTGGCTGGCTGTTTCCAACTGGAATATAAACATATATGATTTGGATGGGTGCAATTTTCATTCTTTAGGGGAGCACAGTCCTATTAAAAGCAGACTAGAGCAGGGGTCTCCAACCCTCGGTCTGCAGCCCAGTCCTGGTCTGTGGCCTTGGCAGGACTGGGCTGCAGAGACAGATCTCCCACCTTCCCCACGCATAGATGCACGCATGCCCCCCACGCACAGATGCCTCCCCCCACGCATGCACAGATACACACACCACACATGCACGCTAAAACGGTCTGCGGTGTCAAAAAAGTTGGGGACCACTGGACTAGAGGAATCACATTTCTCTGCAATAACCAGAACTGAAATAGTAGGTTTAATGATGATGTACACTGATTTCTCTCTGCAATAACCAGAACTGAAATAGCAGTGTAGTATAAGTAGGTTTAATGATGATGTACACTGATTTTAAAGTATCTTGCCATGGTATGGTTGCCACCAGTATACCATGACTTAAATTCTGTTGCACTTGGGGAAGTGCAGATTTACACTTGTGTATGTTTGCAGAGAGTTACATTCAGGCAGCAGAGCTGCTTGCTGGAAATTTCACAACCTCTTGCACAACTTCAAGTTGCACAGGTGCAGCTACACAACTGAAGGCTGACCAGCATAAACTGGATTTTGTTCAGGCATAGGTTGCAGAAGTCAAGCTGACTATACAGATTTGCAAAAGAATGTTCTTTATTCCTACTCCTTTAATAGTATTTAAGGCATGCAAATATTCAATCCCTTATCTCGACCTTACCACCCACAAATCTTGTTGAAGAAACTTTAATCCTCTTCCATCCACCACTGCTCTGGGACCAAGTCTGGATAAGGACATGGCGTGTAAAGCATAGGCTACAGTATAGACAGCATTGTAGATGCTGTAGCTATGGCCAGTCATCCTCATTTCAAAGAAAGCCTCAGGAAGGCTGTCCAGCTTCTCTTCTTCTGTGCAAATCTTATCATCCGATTCATGCAAAACTGTCTCTGGAAACAGACAGTCAAAGGCGTGCTGCCAGAAGTCTCTCATGAAACCATCTTGCTTATTGTTGGAAGGCTTTTTATTTTCAACAAATTGCGGAAATTCTGATAGGTCATCAGAATGAGTTGTGAAAGCAATGGCACCGTGGAACATGCCTGATTTCCAAGTCCTTTGAAAAGCAAGTGAAACAAACTCTATCTCGGCTGTCATTATCCACACTTTACCTTTAAGTGTAGTTGTTACCTGTTCTAATTCAGAGACATATGGCAACCATCTCAAAGATACTATGAAATAAGATTCTCCATACACTACCAGTGCATTGGCGTTGCTTCCCATGATTTTGTTATATATTCTTGCCCCTCTTTCCAGCTCATATTTAACGTCAGTGACCAAATTTATCCTGGGAGCTGTTTCTATGAAGGCAAAACAGATGCCACGCTCATAAAATATCGGCAGCACGTTATCCACAAATCTTTCGCCATTGTCATCGTCTACAGTTAGGACACCAATCCACACCCATCCAAAATGCAGAAGTAAAGAGAGGATCCCAGTATTTTGAATGGTTTCTTTTGGGGCCATCTGGTAAAAGAAAAGCCCTGGGGTTTTATCCTTCATCACTGGAGCACAGCCATATATGAGCTTATGAGAGATACAAAAGAAAATTTGAGAAGAAAATGATAACACTGTTATAATAACTTTGAGTGTCAAAGCCTTTCCACAGCGCTACAGTGGCTTAAACTACCTGATGATATAATGAGTTTGTTTCTTTACTTTACATAGGATAGAGTTGGGTACAAAATGAGTCATGAAGGAAAACAAAATAATAATAAAAACCCCACAGATTGGACCATTTAATGGTTCCTTTTGTGGCGCTTCAGGGAAATGTGCCAGCCCAGAATGAAATGAAACACCAAGCTGTTGTTGGTATTGGTGATTCATATGCTTCATGGTTCGTGGGATTTGACACTTCTGAGACTTTTAGAATGGCCCTTGAACAAGTTATAGATATCAAATTCACAAAGAGTCTTCAGCTGACTCTCCAAGTCTGGTAAAGATTAGATTTGGGATATCTGAGTTATAGCCCCTAGAAGCAGCTGCTAAATATCACTTTACAGGGGGACCTGCTTTGAGGCACTATAACTCAGATATCCCAAATCCAGTTTTTCCAACCTTGGAGTGGGTGGGGAAGAGAGTCAGCTGAAGACTCACTGTGAGTTTGGCATCTCTAATTCATGTGGGGGGCGTTCTATTTCTCCTGGAAGTCCTTAATCACATGAATCACAAAATGCTTCATTTCATCAGAAAATTTGCAAAATATGAGTAGCTATGAACCATGAACCATCACAAATCAGTATTTTCCTGGTTCGTGCCCATCTCTAATATAGGATGTTGAGGCTGAGAAGAATGTGCCTTCACATTAACATTCTCTATGTTAACAACAGAGGTGAGTAATGGGATAACTTGAGACAACTCGTCTCAAATTGGACCACAATGTTTTCACATCAACACTGAGGTCCGATCCAGGATTCACACTATTTTATTTATTATTTAGAACATTTATATCCTACATTTCTCCAAGGCAGCATACAGTATTAAAAGAAGCAAAGTCAAAAGTCAATTAAAAATATCACAATACTTTTAAAAGCGGGAAACAAATATCACATTAAAACTCATAAGATCAATATTAAAATCACAAGTAAAACATAGAATAAAATGATCCCTTTTTAAAAAAATAACTTGGTCAACTAGTCATTTAAAGGACAGCCTGCCTGATGTGAAAGGTCTTTGTCTGGAGAGGGACAGCAAAGATGGGTCCAGCCTGGCCTCCCATTACAGGGAATTCCAGAGTCTTTGAGGCAGCCACCTAGAGTGGTCATGTTATCAGATAGGTGGGATATAAATAGAATAAACAAACAAACAAACAAACAGAGAAGGCCCTCTCTTGTGTCCCTACTAAATGCATCTGTGAGGGTGGCATAATTGAAAGAAAGGCTTCTCCTGAAGATCTTAATATGCAGGCAGGTTTATAAAGGGATGTACAATGTTTTAGATAGCTTAGACACAAGTCATTTAGGGCTTTATAGGTTAAAACCAGCACTTTGAATTATGTCACTATTTTTTTCTGTATATATCCAACTACAATTAGTCATGGAGGAAGCCTTATTTGGATGTTTTTGTCGTTCACCATCTTTCCTTCTTCATCCAACTACCTCTACATGGAAAAATCAGATCTAGAACAAAAAAGTTGGGTGATAGACGTGCGAAATGTCCATAATTCATGCATGTATCATACCTGTGGAATCTTGTAGAGATCCAGAATAGTTGCCATATAAAGGGAGATTTGGGGATCAAGCCCTCCTATTACTCCACTTAGAGTATTCTGCAGGTTACATCTGTAATTGGGGACAAATCTCTCAGACAAGGAGATAAACTGCATTGTGGAATAAAAGGTCCACTTTGCACTGAAATAGCTGTCATAGATCTGGAAGCCCAAGGTAACATTGGGCAAGATCTGAGGATCTTCATTCACTTCTTTTATTGCAAATTCCAAGGCAAGAATATGCTGGTAGTTTTTTGTCAGTACACTAGAAGGAAATTGTGCACAGAAAATCAATTTAAACTGAAAATATTTTGCCATCAAATATGAACTAAGTGGGCATTCTTGAAGGACATTGCATTTCTCCTTTTGACACATGCATCAAAAATCATGAAATTTGTTCATATGGAAAAAAAATGGGATCTTCTGGAACTGATTCTTGGAGTGCTAGTCACAGAAACAGTGGAATCAAGAAAACAAATATTACTTACGCAAGCTCTTCAATCAATGATAATTCGGGTTCTTTAGTGAAGGCTGTCTCACTGGAAACAATTATGGTCTGTGACACAAGAAATCCAAGAAAAAGCCTGCCAGGTTGATGATACTTGTGAGGTGAAGAGGGAGGATAACAGACCTTGCATTGAACAAGATCATCCTGGGATGCTTTTAGCATCATCACTCCTACCACCAATCTGAGTGCTAATGCAAGTTTCTGTTAGAATTCTGTATGATAGCAAAAGCTTTGACTTGAGTTCTTGTTCAGTTTTCTGATGGACATTAATGCCGGAGCATAAAATGAACTGTGTTAGAAATCAAATATGTGCTGCATTCTACATTCCTAGTCTTTAGACTCAGAGGTCTGAAGGGTGAATATGCTGACTTAAAGTCCAGCTTTACAGGGATTCATGAAGCATAATTAATTCTGACTCTTCCTAGCAATTGAGGTGATGGTAACAATCAAGAGTCATAGAGCCTCTGGGAATTGCAGCAGAAAACATGTTTTTCACATCTGAAGACTTCATTGTCTCGGACCTAGCCTGAGAGTCCATAAGCATGTATTTGGGAATGAGCCCCACTGAACTGAATCAGACGTACTTTACTCTGAGTCATTCTTCTGTATGTCTACAATAATCATTTGACACACAAAGCTCATTCTAGTGTACTTGGAAAGAAGCTCTGATAATGATCCCTAACTTACCCTTCCTTTGTCCTGAATCTTGAGTGAAAATGAAGACTTTCATGGAAATGGATCGCTACTAGAATGTGATGCACACTGATGTTTCTTAGTGAATGCACAAGAATCCAAGGGCAAAACATACACAGATACATTGCAGAATCTGCCTTTAAATTGCAAATTAACTCTCTGTGGATATAACAACTTCAGAATCTAATGCTCTGATGCATTAATCAAATAAGAGGAAAGTTAGCCTCTCTTTCTCCCAGAATCTGACAGTACTTTCTCCGAATTAATTCCGAATCAAGGGAAAGTCTTAATAAAAAAATGCAGGTTCTCGAAAATTCATTCATGTCTTCTAAAAGTCATGTGGTTTGGATTCAGAATAGGTCAGTGGTCCATGGATTCAGTAAGATCTCAGTACATTCCACCCATTTACTCGGTACATTCCACCCAATTTGAGAAACCATCATTTAAAAAAAAAAATCAGAAAAAGTATATGTGGTTCCATCTTGCAACCTCCCTAAAAAAAAACCCCACAATACACCTGCAGGAGTGTGCAATACCTTTATTGGACCATTAAAATAAACTGAGTAGACAACTAGCCTTTGATGATGTTTCATCTTCATCAGGCTGTGCACCACGATCTTGTGTACAGTTCAGAAAAACTAAACATTACAGTCCCAAAGTTTCATGGCATGCATGTTGATGTGCCAGGCAAGTTTTCTTAAGGTACATTGAGAGGCAGGATGCAAGTGGCTTGTTGGGTGAGGGTGGAAACTCCTCTCCAAACTGCATTATGGAATAAGTTTGAGAAGTGGTTCAACAGTTTTGCCAATCACACAAAAAATAGGTAATATGCTTAGCAATTACTCCTATATAATTAAGGTTCTCTAGTAGAAAGGATAGGGACATGGTGGCACTGTGGACTAAACCGCAGAAGCCTGTGCTGCAGGGTCAGAAGACCAGCAGTCGTAAGATCGAATCTACGCAACGGAGTGAGTTCCCGTCGCTTTGTCCCAGCTCCCGCCAACCTAGCGGTTTGAAAGCATGTAAATGCAAGTAGATAAATAGGGACCACCTCGGTGGGAAGGTAACAGCGTTCCGTGTCTAAATTGCACTAGCCATGTGACCACGGAAGATTGTCTTTGGACAAACGCTGGCTCTATGGCTTGGAAACGGGGATGAGCACCACCCCCTAGAGACGAACACGACTGGACAAAATTTGTCAAGGGGAACCTTTACCTTTAGTAGAAAGGATGCTTGCTATATAGCTCAGGGGTTTAGCTATATGGCTGCAGAGTCAGAGGTTGGGGGTTCAATTCTCAGCTATACCTCCTAGGAGAACAACCAGACTGTGTAGTCATGGGCAAGCTGCACAATTCCAGAAAGAAGGGGATGGCAAATTATTTCTGAGTATTCCATACCTAGAAAACTCTGAAAAGAGGATCCATACATTGGAGTTGAATCAATGGAACTTAATTGTTGAGTAGTTATACAAAGGATTTCACAGGTTCTAGCAAGAGGTTATGAAAGGAAAATGGAAGGAGAAATGAAGAGAAATCCAGAGCACAGAGTGCTGTCCTCTGAAGATGCCGGCCACAGAGATTGGCGAAACGTCAGGAAGAACAACCTTCAGAACACGGCCAAAGAGTCCGAAAAACCCACAACAACCATTAGATCCTGGCCGTGAAAGCCTTCGTGCATACAAATCAAGAGTTTATTTCATAGTTTCCTTTTCAGGAAGTATTATTCAAATATCCAAAATGATATTTAAATGAAGGAGTAATTGACAAACTTCAGATAAAACAAATATACAGTTTGACCCCTGGGATGGAAAATATCAGAAGAATTCTAGAGCATAACAGCACCGGTGCAAGATTCCCAGCAGAAAAAGTGAGAAGAAAAGCACTATCCACACCTTCTCCGCCAAGGTTACCCCCTGCCAAAACAGGACAAGACTCGTGGGAAGAGGTGGTGGTGGTAGCTGAGGCACTCTTCCTTCCAGTTGCCATCTGTCAGTTTGCACAGTATGGCCTTTTCTCAGATAGCCGTGTGATTGAAAACGTGTTCCAAAATTCCTCAGGGTCAAAGATTTGGGCAAGAGGCAGCCAATATGTAAATAAATATATAAATAAATAATGTGCCACGCTCTTCATCATAGCAGACCCTGTTCCCAGTGTGACCACCTTCCCCAGGTAATGGCCTGCTCTCATCTGGTGCAGACAAGAAGGTCTAAATGACAAATGAGAGACAGGACCAACCATCAGTATTTTTTCTTTATTATTTGTTCCCTGCTGTTCAGCTCTGGCCTCAACACAATAATGTAGCATTTGGGAAAGAAGATGCAACCCAGCAGTCCAGCACTTGAGGCTAAGACAGAAAAGGTCCCAACAACAACCATGTATTTCCCTTTGGTGCTGAAAGCGGTTGGAATAAAGGACAACCACACACTACAGAAGACCAACATGCTGAAAGAGATGAACTTGGCTTCATTGAAACTGTCAGGGAGCTTTCTAGCCAGAAAAGCTATTGTTAAACTGGCAGTGGCCAGGAAGCCCATATAGCCCAGAACAGAGTAATACAGAATCACAGACCCTTCATTACATTCCAGTATTATTTCTTCAGCCACTGAATGGGTGTCGGCATCCGGAAAGGGAGGAGAGCTTGCAAGCCACACAATATGAATGATGGCCTGAATAAGGAAAGAGCAAAGAACTATGGTGTTGGCCAGTTTCTTCCCCATCCACTTCTTCATCTTGTATCCCGGTTTGGTGGCCATGAAAGCCAGCACAACCGTAATGGTTTTTGCCAACACACAGGAAAGAGCCACTGTGAAGATGATGCCAAAGGCAATCTGTCGGAGGAGACATGTCACCATCTGTGGGCGACCAATACCCAGTAATGCAGAAAGGAAGCAGAGCAGAAGGGAAAAAAGGAGTGTGTAGGTGAGGTTCCGGTTGTTGGCTTTGACGATGGGAGTATTGTGGTGCTTCAGGAATATTCCCAGCACCATACCTGTAATCAAAGTAAAGAATAGAGCAAAACATGCTAAACTGAGCCCAAAAGGATCTTCGTAAGACAAAAAGTTTACATATTTGGGAATACATAAGTCCTGTTTTTGGTTTGAATAAGTTTCGTCTGTGCATTTATAGCATTCATTCACGTCTGAAAAAGAAAAGATGTAGCCTTAGTGTCTGCACACACGTCATAAAGCTCACCGAATTGTTTTAACTTGTTCCATAATATTCAGATTAATTTTCACTGTTCAGATTGGATCATTTATTCAATGGTGATTCCATGAAATGCTAGTTAAAAATCCCTTGTAGTATATATATAGAAGTTTCTTTGAACTGTAATCATTTCAAACAGCTTAAAACATTGACCCAGAGTAAGAGACAAGATCCTTAGAGGTGTTTCTTTCTTGTTCATTTTGGGAGGTTTGTAATCCTGTGAAGTATTAATCCAGTCCATTATTATTAGGTGTGCTGCACTCTGGGATGACTGAGAACACTTCTCGTTCATTTTGGAAGGTTTACAATCCTGTGAAGGACTAATCCAGTCCATTATGATGATGATGTGTGCTGCACTCTGGGATGACTGAGAACAGATCCTGCCCCTCTTCTGTATGACTATCTTTCAAGTATTTGAAAAGTGCTATCATTTTTCCCCTCATTCTTTTCTCAAGGCTAAATATGCCTAGTTTTTCCCCTCATTCTTCTTTTCTCAAGGCTAAATATGCCTAGTTCTTTCAGTCTTTCTTCACAGGGTTTGGTTTCAAGTTTCCTTAATGTCCTTGTTGCCCTCTTCTGAACTTGTTCCAGTATGTTGACATCCTTCTTAAAGTGTCATCTCCAGAACTGGACACAGTACACAATAGGAGGCCTAATCAGTCCTGAATAGAGAGGGACTACTACTTTGTGGGATTTGGAGACTATACTTGTGTTAACGCACCCTAAAATAGCATTTGCCGTTTTTGCAGATATATTGCACTGTTGACTCATATTCGGCTTGTGATCTACAACAATTCCAAGATCCTGCTCATGTGTAGTATTATTGAGCCAAAGATCCCCCATCTTGTAACTGTGCATTTGGTTTTGATGAACGCAGATGTCTGCTGCGTTAAAAGAAAGATCTGTTCTTTCCAGATCACACACCCTGTTTCAATATTCTGTCCATTCTGAACTTTGCCCAGCAGGGTACATGTAACTAGCTCCCAGAATCAGTGGTCTGTCAATTTTAGCCCCTTTGAAACTTGTATAATAGGTGACCCACCAAGTCAAAAAATGGCCCATGCAAGAGGTATACAGTACCTTTCTATTATGAAACCCATATTTTCATGCCATGTATGTGAGCAAAATCTTGCAACTGTCTGAGCCTCATCAATGGATAAGTCAAAGTACACTTACACACCTTGAGGCACTGGACAGAAGAAAGCACTATTTTTCATTGTACTCTCAGAACTGCTGATATTCCCAAACAGGCAAATCACTTTCCTTCGGATTTCAGCTGATCTGTTTGATTAATATGCTTGCTGTATTTCTTACCTGTCTGATTTGAAATAGTTCCTTCTGGACACGGGATGCAATCATAGCAGCAAAAAGGTTCCCCTTCCTTAATTTTCTTGCTAAAACCAGGGTAACAACTGTCACTACATACAGAAGATGGTGGGGTCTAGTCCAAAAAAGAAAAGGGAAGTGTTAATGTTGGGAACAATTTATTTCAACTAATTATGTCCCAAAAATAATAATAGTGTGCCATCAAGTCAATTTTGAATTATGGCCAAGTAATTATGCAGACAGAGGACGAGATGGTTGGACAGTGTCATCGAAGCAACCAACATGAATTTGACACAACTCCGGGAGGCAGTGGAAGACAGGAGGGTCTGGCGTGCTCTGGTCCATGGGATCACGAAGGGTCGGACCCAACTAAATGACTAAACGATGATGACGAATTATGCAGCAAGTTTTTTTTAAAAAGGGTCATGGTCAGACATTTGTGTCTATCATATGCTCTAGAGATCATGGATCTGAAACTTGAAATTTTCAACCCATGGCAGACCTCGCCATTATGAGAAGCTAGGTTAGTGAGTACAGAGAATATTACTACCACATTCATCTTGTGTGCCCCCATTACTACTGTAAATATAAGCCCTGCAAACATGCTGTGTCAGATCGCTGTCAGTTTCATTTAATTAGGTTTATTTTATTTCTTATCTCAGCTTCTGTATCACTCCATAGTGCATGCACTCTCTGGGCAATTCACATATAACCTTCTCCTCAAAAGAACACAACTCCCTCCTCTCATTCCATCTCTTCCACATCTCTAGGGGGCAAAAGGCTAAGCAGAGGGATTATGCATATGCTCTCCTACAAATTCATCCAGTGAGAGTGACGGCTCAGCAGGGTCATGAAGCCCAATGCATCCTGGCCTGGTTCAACACTCTAACCACCACACTCCATAAAAAATAGTTTTCAATAATACATGCAACAGTAGTTTTCAGGAATGGAAACTCGTGTCACGACTCACTGTCAAGGCAAATTTCAGTGGCAATTTGACTTGGACTTGACTCAGTTGCGTTTTGTTGTGGGTTTTGTTTTTTATTCCCCCCCCCCAATGATTCAGACTTGACTTGTGACCTGGAACCCATCCACTCCTCCCTTTTTTTTCTGGGGGGGGGAATTTGTTTTTAATAGGGACTCAGACTTGGGCCTTGGGACTCAGCGCTTGGGACCAAAGACTTGGACATGGCACTCAGCCCCAAACATGTGCCAACATCCCTAGTAGTTTTTATTGGGTGATGAAGGTCTAATAGAAATCAGCCTTGCCTGTCAATATACAACATTAGAAGACTTACTATTGACACATACCTGCTTAAACCAGCTGTGCCTTGTTATGGCATCTTCATCAATAGAGAATGCTTCACCTGGAGGAGCTTCAGGATCCATTCTCCCAACTTTTACCCCATGAAGTGATTGGTTCGAGGAAATGATCCAGTGGAGAACATCAAATCCAGCTATTAGCTGCCCTTCCTCATCAAAGGAAATCTTGTCCCCAACACTATTGTTAAATGATATACTTCTCAAGAAGTTATGTAGCTAAATGTAAAATCAAAATGTAAGGTCAGTCAAGGTGTATAAGATATCACCTTGGGGCATAATACAACAAGCTGGAATCCTTCGACAATGCAGTTGATGCTCATAAAGCTAGTATCCTGTTTTTGCCATATCACCTTTCATGGCAGCAAGTGAAGAGGAATTAAAGAACCTCTTAATAAGGGTGAAAGAGGAGAGTGCCAAAAATGATTTGAAGCTCAACATAAAAAAAACTGAGATTATGGCCACTGGTCCCATCACCTCCTGGCAAGTAGAAGGGGAACACATGGAAGCAGTGACAGATTTGACTTTCTTGGGCTCCATGATGATGCCAGCAGCCACAACATTAAAAGATTTCTGCTTCTTGGGAGGAAAGCAATGACAAACCTCGACAGCATCTTAAAAAGCAGAAACATCACCTTGCCGACAAAGGTCTGCATAGTCACAGCTATGGTTTTTTCAGTAGTGATGTATGGAAGTGAGAGCTGGACCATAAAGACTGACCATCAAAGAATTGATACTTTTGAATTGTGGTGCTGGAGGAGATTCTTGAGAGTCCCCTGGACTGCAAGGAGATAAAACTCATACATTCTAAAAAAAATTAACCCTGAGTGCTCACTGAAAGGACAGATCATGAAGCTGAGAAATCTCCTGGAAAAGACCCTGATGTTGGGAAAGAATGAAGGCAAGAGGAGATGGGGATAACAGAGGATGAAATGGTTGGACAGTGTCATCGAAGCAACCAACATGAATTTGACCCAACTTCGGGAGGCAATGGAAGACAGGAGGGCCTGGCGTGCTCTGGTCCATGGGGTCACGAAGAGTTGGACACAACGACTAAACAACAACTACTACTACCAAGACGCCAGGGCATGTCTTGGGTGTACAGCCATTTATGCAACTTAGATGTGCCTCTGTACCTCATCAATTAACCCCAGTTAGCTCCGGCAAGGTATGCACAATTTTACTTGGACATTAGGAGCATTCTGGCCAATGCATAATGTTACTATATATCAAAAACAACAAAGAATATTCAGTTGAGCATAGATATATAGAGAAATTGGAGGGAAAATATATTGAAGAAAACAATAAATATTTAATTCCTATTTAATGGGAAGAGGAAGGAAATTAAGAAGCTTTGATGTGGGCAATGGAAGACAGCTTACTGCAATGATAATATCACTTATATGATGCCACTTTAAAACATCAAATCTATTTACCTTCCATTGCTGTTTATTCTGGAGGTTCAATCCGCTTCCACTGATTTTTTCCCTGTGCTTGAGTCTAGAAGACAACATCGCATCTAAAGCAAGAGCCACAGCATAGACAGAATTGTATATGTTGTAACTATAGCCACTCATGCTTATCTCAAAGACAGACTTGGGAAGGTTTTCCAGCTCTTCCTCACCTGTACAAACATTCCCATCCATCTCTCCATCAACTATATCTGGGAATGCACATCCAAAGGAGTGCTGCCAGAAGTCCCTGAGAAAACCATCTCCTTTTATGTTGGGAGGTTTTCTACTTTCAATAAATGACGAAAACCCTGGCGGATCTTTGGAGTGGATCGTAAAGGATAGAGCCCCATGGAACATTTCTGCATCCTTAGCCTTTTGAAAGGAAAATGAAGAGAATTCCACTTGAGCTGCCATTATGAACACCTTTCCTAGTGGTTTATCTGAGATACGTTCTCCTTCTGATATATATGATAACCATGTTACGCATTCAAAGGAGTATGATTCTCCATATACCACCAACACATTGGCTTTGCTATCCATTATTTTATAATGCATTCTTCCCACAACTTTTACATTGTCATACATTTCTGCATCATTTCTTAGCATAGGAATCCTCTCTATGAATGCCACACAGATTCTGTGCATGGAAAATGCTGGAAATGTAGCTTGTATAAATCTTTCTCCGCTGTCAGTATCCATAATAAGGATGCCAATCCATGTCCATCTGTAATGCAGCAGCAAGGAGAGAATCCCTTTATACTGAAGGTTTTCCTGAGGAAACATCTTATAGGGAGAAAATCCTGGGGATTTGTCAGTTATCATTGGAGTAGAGCCATATATAAGCTGAAAATGTCATGCGGAGAAAGAAGATATCACTAAATACCATTCACCTTTGGAAAAAAAACCCCACATATATAAGCGTTTTCACAAGTTTTCATGCTTCTCTATGTAAATTTTCACTCTTCTGCATACTTAACTGTGTAGGTGAAACTGTTATTGTTTTATGCATTGTTTCATTGCAACTTATAGCAATCTTATTGGGTGCTGAAGCTTTGACAGATTTCAAGGATTGGTTTAAAATTGCCAGCCCAATGATTTTCCACAGCCAAGGGACAAGTTAGATCCAGGTCTGTTTAATTCTGATTTGACACCCTACCACCCTTACTGAAGTGATTAATAATGATCTCCAGATATTAAATGGGAGTTCAATCCAAAGTTCATTCTGTTAATGTTTATTTTTAGTCCTTTGATGTTATAGCATTGCCCTTACCACATTTTTTCACCCAACACATTTTAGTGCAACAGGTCCAAATCTTCTGTTAACTTTCTATTAAAATAAGAGTATGACTCTGTGTGTGTGTGTGTGTGTTCACTTGGACATGGGCATGTTGTTATAAATCTATCTGTTAGTCCATGTGGTTAACCCCATATCTAGTTACTTTGCTTCAAATCAGTTAGCAGACAGGTCGGCTGATTGATTGATTGATTGATTGATTGATTGATTGATTGATTTGATTTGATTTGATTTGTATCCCGCCCATCTGGTAATTCTACCACTCTGGGTGGCTACCAGCAAACATATATACATTAAAAACACACAGAGCCAATTGACATTGATGTTGACCTGTTCTCCATGCTAGTACCAGTACTATGGGTAGCAGTTAACAATGAAGTTGTGCCTTGTTTTAATTCCAGTGCCTATGTGTTTGTGTGTTTATTTGTTATCAGCATGGACCACAACCTGCTGACTTAGAAATCAAGAACATTTTATGAGCCACTGTTTTCTAAGGACTCCTCTTCCCCATCTGTCACATTGTGCCCATTAGTGTGTCCTGGGCTACCTTAAAACATAGTTTTGTTACAATTGTGAAACAACCAAACAAAAAAAAAATTAGGCCAATGAAGATCCCCGTTACTCAGCAATACTGGTTTCTGTGTCTGTATGACATTGCTGTGATACAGAGGCCAGTATCTTGCTCAATGTTAATATGTGCAGGGGTCCAACTGCAGAAGCTGCTGTGGGACTCTGACAAGGTGCAGCTTGTGTGCCTGTTTGTGTGCAAGCATCCATTCACCACAGTAGCATTGTGCATACATACAAAAAATATTGAACAGTGTACTAACCAGAGTTCTGAAAAAGGACCAGCTGTATTTGCCAGCTAGAAAAATTAAGGGGAAGCACTGTTAGGAAATGCAGTTCCCCTGCAACATTCACATCACTAAGAACTTTTAAAAAGCTGCATTCATGCTGAAAGAACAAAATAAGCATGAATCAAGTATATAATTTCCATGCACTCCTACGCACCTGTGGAATCTTGTAAACAGCCAAAATTGTCGCCACCTGAAGGGAGGTTTCAGAGTCTAGCCCCCCAATCACTGCCATCAGATTATTCTTAGTGTCACAGTTGTAGTTGGGGACAAAATTCTCCATGGTGGAAGTAAGAAGCATTGTGACATTGTACGTCCTCTGTGCATAGAAATAACTGTCATAGATGCGGAAGCCGAAGGTGATATTAGACAGGATTTGAGTGTTTTCATTTATCTTTTTTACAGCAAATGCCATGGCCACAATGTGCTGGTAATTCTTAGACAAAAAACTACAATGAGATGTAATGGGTACATTAGTTTTGCTGTGTCTTGTTATTGCAGTAGAAGTCACTACAGTATTTATGTACTATCTCTATGGAAGCACTTAAGCCTACATGCAGTCTATACAAAAATAACAACTGTGCTCACTATCAAAACAATGCACTTTCTGGTTGCGCTTTCTTAAACTATGTGGCAACCTTTTCAGGTGCCATTTAAAGAACTCATATGCCCTCATGACAGTAGTGTTGAGTGATTTCCAAGAAACCTCCCATTCCTCTGTAGCACAACACTAAAAGTAACCAGCATGAGCTTTAAATGAATTTAATAACTAGAAACAGAGATAAAACAGAAACGGTAAATCATTTAAAGCAATAAAAATTAGAGAGATGCACACAAAGAAAAAAACAGAGGGACAGAAAGATGGCTACAGCACCTAAAATCTAAAACCTCTGGAACTTTAGCTGTCTCAGGTCTCAACATGATAGCTTCAATATCAACAACTTCATCATCAACATTTAATATGATTGGGAAAATATGAGTGGGCTGGTGTACTTCTGTTTCTTATAACCCTCTCTGCATGGACGGCAGCCTCTCTAGTTCCCTGGAAATGGCACATTTCTATCTACATAAGGCAGATCCTGGATCCAATCTATATACTACACAATTAAAAGAGTTTTATGAAGAAATAGCAAAGTATGGAGGGAAGTGCAAACAGTCTAAGCCAAATTAATCACAGAAAATCAGTGTAACATAGAAATGACTAGAGAAAATGGGTAAAAGTATGGAGAGAAAAAATGTATAAAGGTAAGAAAAATGCCTTTAGATTTAAAAGTATTTTAAGACTTTTGCTCTGAGGATGCAGCTCTCTTTATAGATGAAAACCACGTTCAATACATGATGCTTACACAATGTCTTCAACTTCTATTGTGGGTTTTTTGCTGAAGTTTAATGACCTGTAGAGAATGAAAGCCTGAGAAACAATGCCACCGATAAGCAGGTCTCCTGACTGATGATACTTGTGAAATGGAATGGGTGGAAAAAATATCTTGCATTTACCAAAGGGACTGTTGTCTATTATGTAAGGAAAAAATAACAACACCAGCAGCACTACTAATACGATCATACTGAGTAGACCCAAAAATCTTCTCCACAAATTCAAATGACCCTGTGCAAATCTACATAACTGTTGGTAGGATCTCTTTCATTTCATTTGCTTGAGCTATGTAGCCTTTCCATCTGATGATAAGCCTGAATCCCGAAGCATAAAATGAAAAGGAGTAGATGACAGATTGGTGACAGCACCTGTATTCCTTCTTTTTCTTTGCCTCTAAATACTATTGTTTATAACATCTCCAACAGCCTTTGCTATTATTTTTTTTTCTCAATTGCAAGTGAAACTCCACAAGGAATTTTGACAGGCACTAGAATTAATTACAGCTCTCGTGAAGCTTGTTATGGAAAGTAATGGATTATAATATCTGGGTTCCCTGTGGAATTCCTGAATAAAAGTTTTAACTTTTGTTTAATTCAGCAGTTAAAAATTGGAAAGTTGGCATGAAATGCTACCTAGCAGGACTTGGAAGTGACGGAAAGCCAAAATATTGAGCCAGGAAGACATTATGAAAATCCCTTTTTTGTAGGTTTGTTTTTTTCTCCCCAGAAAACAAAGAGTAAACCTTAGGGCATAAATGTATCAAAGTGCATTGGGTATATGGTCTGCACCTCAGATGAAGCCCTCGGGCTACACCCTCACCCTGAATTTCTCACCATGTCACCAGATTTCAAGGATACGGCAGCCAGATTGGTAACTTCAGGTATAATGAGGTAAAACCCAGCTGGCTTTGCAACCCCATTGTTCCACTTCTTTCATCAATACTAAAGTAAATTCGGCAGAGTTTACTACCACAGGATGTGACTTGATCAATATGGGGAAGCAATACAGCCCTACTCCAAGACATTTCCCATCCCTTGTCTAAGGAAAATTGTATTTATTTGTATACAATGTTTTATCCCAGTTTTACAAACATTTTCTTCTTCACATTAGACTGAAACAATATGCAATTTTTGTTATTGTTATGTGCATTCAAGTCGCTTACAACTCATGCTGACCCTATGAATGTCCTGTCCCCAGCCACCCTCCTCAGCTCTTGAAGTTTCAAGCGAGTGACCTCCTTTAGGAAAAAAAATTGGCCTGGGAGATCTTGGGGGACTCTTACTATACAAAACAGCAGTCAGGAATGGGCTGAATAGATTTAGCTCAATATAAGGAAGCTTCTTTTATTCCCAACAAGCCATGTTGTCTGTCAGAGGATTCTCATCCGAACTGCCTTATTAATCTAAAGCTGACTTTTTAGTTAAACTTAAAAAGCAAAATCCTTACTTTCAAGTTGATTTTTCTCTTAATAGATCCCTATTATTTAAGCCAAACTTCAGCACAACAGTGCAACATACTCGTCATTCACATTGTCTCTTCCAGATACAGTAGCTTCATGTGTACTACTGAAACAAGATATTGGTTTGAGGAACATTCTTCAATATTCTTATTCTCTTTGAAACTTAATACATTATTTATGAAATGACTATATTCCATAGGTCAGCTCTACTACAGTATGGTCCAGTGACGTTCTTCAAAGAAAACCTTTTTACCTTCAGTGAAATTTGTGTTGATTTTGGTTGATACTAATGGGCCCTTCCATCAGTCAGAGAGAACTGGATGCCTCATGGACTCTGGATATGCAGAAAAGTCAGCAGCAGCAGGCCTCTCGCTATTCTCAGCCCTCTGATGACTGAAGGCTGTTCCAGATAACAGTTTCCCAATAGTCCCATAACGATTCCCATTCTTTGAAAGTCAGAACTACTTGTTCCCAGTCCCACCCTTTCTTGCCTTGGCATCATAAATTGCTCATCATTGTCCTTAAGCTAGGGATGGGCACAGACTGCCACAATGGTGGTTCATGAGGGTTTGTGGTTCATTGGTGTCCGCGAACCATGACATTTAAAAAAAAAAAACCAACAGTCCCACAATTTGTTTGGTTCGGGCCTATCTCTAAATGTAGGTGAATTCCCCACCCCATGCCCCCCCTTCATGGGCCACAGCACTTATATTACTTTCTCCAGGCCTCCACCACCACCACTGCTGGGCTGTCCAGCTGAGTAGGACAGTAGGCTGCCTGGGGCCTATGTCCTGCCCCAATTCTTCTTGAGATGCTTAGGTTATTGTTGGAATTGCAGTTCTTTGAGGATTCTCTGTATATATAGCCGAATGGGCAGCTAAAATACATTTCCTTCAATATACTAACGACAATTTTGCCCCCCAGCAATTCAGCTACTCCTTTTGCTGATCTTGGAAGAATGGAAGACTGAGTCAACCATGAACTATCTACTTAAATCTGTTGGGATCAAACTCAGGCCATGAGCAGAGGACTGACTGCAGCACTGTGGTTTAACCACTACACCAGGGGACATCATATACAGAGATGATGCAAACTGACCCCACATACACACACACAAAAAAAGTGTATTCAGGATACATGCCTAAAAAGTGATAGCATGGGCAGAAGGGAAGTAATTGACAATGTCCTTAAAATGTCTCACTTTATTGGGCGGTGGTTGTTCTTTTCAGTGGGAAAACCTGGAGAACATTGAAATTATATATCACAAAGTTGGTAAGAAGGAGTCATGTACACATTGTACATGGATAAATACATGTCTTTGGATTGAAAGTTACAGAAATCTGCACAGAAACATTTTTCTATTCATCAATTCATTGTTCTAATCAATTGTTCCCTTTTGTTCAACTGAGGCCTCAGTACAATAACGTAACACTTAGGAAAAAAGATGCAGAAAAGTAAGCCAGCGCTGGAGGCCAAGATGGAGAAGACCTCCACAGCTACCATGTATCTCCCTTTAGTACTCAGGTAGGAAGGAATAAAAGATAACCAAACAACACAGAAGACCAACATGCTGAAAGTGATAAATTTTGCTTCATTGAAATTATCTGGTAACTTCCTTGCAAGGAAAGCCACAGTGAAACTTATAATGGCCAGGAGACCCAGGTAGCCAAAGGCACAGTAGAACATTGCCACAGATCCCTCATTACATTCTAAGACAATTTTTCCAGGCACTGTATGCAGATCAGCATCTGGAAATGGAGGATGACTTGCCAGCCACACAGAGCAGATGCCCACTTGAATAAGGGAGCAGAAAAGTACAGTGGAGTAAGTCACTCTCTTCCCCATCCACTTCCTCAGCCTTGATCCTGGCTTGGTGGCCATGAAAGCCAGCACTACTGTGATGGTTTTTGACAACACACAAGAAACAGCCACTGAGAAGGTGATGCCAAAGGCAATTTGCTGGAGGAGACAGGTTACTTGATGTGGTCGTCCGATGAACAGAAACGTAGAAAGGAAGCAGAGCAGAAGGGAGACAAGGAGGGTGTAGGACAGGCTGCAGTTGTTGGCTTTGACAATAGCAGTGTTGTGATGCTTTATAAATGTTCCAAGGACCAGAACTGTGATTAATGAAAAGGAAAGAGCAACCAAACCTAGGCTGATCCCCAAAGGCTCTTCATAAGACATAAAGGTCACATCTTTGGCTAAGCAAAGGTCATGTTTTCTGTTTGGATAGGTTTTGTCTGTACAGCTGTAACAGTCAGGCATATCTGGAAAACAATGCCTTATGTTATTATTGTGTCAGAACAATGTCTTAATACTAGCAATCTTTTGTAAATTGTCCTGTCACAGAGACAAAGACTAGCTTTTTTTTTTTTTGCTTAACTTCAGGTGAGAAAAGAAATTGTGTGCATCACCTTCCCACCCAGCATTCCAGCCGGAGAGCTTGCTAGAGATGAGAGGGAGGTTAACACAGTTTATGTTCCACTCTGTGTTTAGACAATGGGACAGCAGCCAAACTGTTTACTAATTTTCATTTGTGTTTCTACCAAGCTTTCAGCTGAAGTGATGATAAAGCAATTCAAATTCAAGTTTGAAACCTGGGCCATTAAAACAGTAAAAATAAGCAAAATGAAAATAACCTTTACACAGCCAGATCTGAGTTAAAACGTGACTTACCTTGTCTGGTATTTAGTTTATAGAATGTAACTACTGTAATGTAATGAAAAAGGAAAAAATCAGGGAGCCATCAGCTGCAGAAATAAACATAAACTATGTGAAATGTATTTGGAGTAACAGAAATTGGGAAGTTAAGGTCTTTGGAGAATCAAGATAGCAAAATCATAAAAACTAGCAGGAATTCATTTGAAAAAAATGCAGCTAAGATCAGGACGTTCAGTACACTTCTTACTCATCAAGCTGAATATGCAAGGATAAACAAATGACTATCAATTGTTTTGTAGTCTTTATGGCTTCAAAATACTATGGACATTTCTCTTTGTTTTTTCTCTATGGCTATACCTTTGAAAAATGATTGGCTCATAAATTTGTTTTCTAGAGTTTTTCTCAATAAGAATTCACATGTCACCTGAACTCAAAAGGTATTCTCAACTAGGGTAAACACACTAAATGATTAGTCAACAAATGTAAATTCCACACATTCAGAAACTACCTGCAGGATTTAGGCTTGCATGTCTCCAGGGCTCAAATTGCAAATGAAATTCTGGTTTCAGTACTGGGCTTGGTCAAATTCAACAGAATACCCAAGTATAGACAATGTGATGTTATTAAATGGTAAAGTACTGTATTTTTCCATGTATAAGCAAAATTCTGGTTTCAGTCCTGGGCTTGGTTAAATCCAACAGAATGCCCTAGTATAGACAATGTGATGTTATTAAATGATAAAGTACCATATTTTTCCATGTATAAGATGACCCAATGTATAAGATGATCCCCACTTTTCCATCCCCAAATAAGAACATTTTATCACTGCTTTACCCCTAGATTCAGGGCTTTACCCCTCCATTTCCTAATCCCCAAATGGAGGGGTAATGCAGTGATGAAAGAGCTGAAGGATCAAAGGGGTGTGATCCTGCAGTGCTTTGATCCCTTCCCCCTTACTTCCGTGTATAAGATGAGCCTCAATTTTTTATCCAAAGATTTTAGATAGAAGTATCATCTTATACATGGAAAAATACGGTATATTCCTTAGAGTATAAACAGAAAACATGGACTCAGGGGATGTGGGTACAAATCTTTGCTGGGGTTTAGAAATATACTGGAAGTAGTACTGTATTCACTGCAATACAATAAACCATTCCTTGAATATCTAGTATACCTGAAGAGATGTCGCAGGGCAAACAAACAAACAAAACTATGGTGATTGCTTATTAGAATAACCATAAATTGAAAACTACTTAACAGCATACAAAAACAACAGTAGGAGCAACAAGATATTTCTTACCCTCCTGGTCAGAAATCTTCCCTTCTGGACAAGGGAGACAATCATAGCAGCAAAATGGCTTCCCCTCCTGCATTTTCTTGCTCGAACCAGGATAGCAACTTTCAGTGCATACAGAACGAGGTTGGGTCTAATCAATAAATGAATAAAACAATGAGAATAAGTCTGTGCCTGCTTGACAAGGACTGGATTTGATGATCCATAGGGTCTTTTCCAGCACTGCAGGACTAAGATTAATAAGTGCACATAATTAATTAATTTTGCTTAAACTTGCAATGTTTCGTGGTTTGTTTTTGTGCAGCAAATGCATGAAAAAATTTGTATATCAACAGCAACCTTGGTGTATACTCAGGAAGGAACCAAACAGAGGACTAAGATTAATACGTGCACATAATTAATAAATTTTGCTTAAACTTGCAATGTTTTGTAGTTTGTATTTGTGCAGCAAATGCATGAAAAAAATTTGTATATCAACAGCAAGCTTGGTGTATACTCAGGAAGGAACCAAACATTTCCCAAGTTGATGAGCATTGCTTTTTACCTGATTAAACCAGCTGTGCCATGTGATCGCATCCTCTCGGAGGGAGAATCTTTGCCCTGAAGGGAGCCTTGGATCTAGCTTTCCAATTTTCACTTTAGATACATTTGAGAAACTTATCCAGTTGATAAGGTCAAACCCAGCAGTGGATTTCCCATTCTGATCAAAAGAAACTTCATCTCCAGCACTATTGTTAAATGAGACCTTTCCCAGGGCATGATGAAGCTTGATTGATAAAGAAAAGACAGTAACTTAGAAGGGGACTAGGGACGTGGTGGCGCTGTGGGCTAAACTGCAGAAGCCTGTGCTGCAGGGTCAGAAGACCAGCAGTCATAAGATCAAATCCACACGACGGAGTGAGCGCCCGTCACTTGTCCCAGCTCCCACCAACCTAGCGGTTCAAAAGCACGCAAAGTAGATAAATAGGGACCACCTCGGTGGGAAGGTAACAGTGTTCCGTGTCTAAGTTGCACTGGCCATGTGACCACAGAAGATTGTCTTCGGACAAAACGCTGGCTCTATGGCTTGGAAATGGGGATGAGCACCGCCCCCTAGAGTCGACTCCCAGAGCATGATGAAGCTTGGTTGATAAAGAAAAGACAGTCGCTTAGAAGGGGCTATGCTGAGAGCCTTCAGCAGCAAAGTTATAATGTCAGTTTGAAGAATAGCAAGTCCTTTTGGAATGGGGGACGGTTGATGGCCCACAGTTACTAAGTAGAGACATCATATATTACAATAATAATCTTGGAACTGCAGAGTTGGAAGGAAACTTATAAATCATCAAGTCCGGACTATGCTGAGAGCCTTCAGCAGCAAAGTTATAATGTCAGTTTGAGGAATAGCAAGTCCTTTTGGAATGGGGGAGGGTTGAGACTTACTAAGTAGAGACATCATATATTACAATAATAATCTTGGAACTGCAGAGTTGGAAGGGAACCTATAAATCATCCAGTCCAGCCCTACTCAAGAAGCACAGTGCAGAACTGAACTCACAACCCTCTGGCTCTGCAGCCAGAGAACTAAATCACTGAACTATACAGCATTTCCTTGAGACTTACTAAGTAGAGACATCATATATTACAATAATAATCTTGGAACTGCAGAGTTGGAAGGAAACTTATAAATCATCAAGTCCAGCCCCAGTCAAGAAACACAGTGCAGAATTGAACTCCCAACCCCTGGTCTGCAGCCAGAAAAACTAAATCACTGAACTATACAGCATTTCCTCCAAAATGTTATAACACAGTCTCCAGCATGCTTACAGCAAATGCATTAAAGGCAAGCTGTTTGACAGATAGATTAGTCTATCATTTATAGGTGGTAGGCAGAGGAATGAAAGTGAAATCAACACTGTTGAAAGAATTTTGGGGAAACATGTATGAGACAAATTAACTGCGGTAGTTTCACATAAAGCTGTCTGGTCCATTACCTGCCAAAATGGTTGATTCTGAGGCATCAGTCCTTCCCTGAACACTTTGGTCCTGTGTTTGAGCCTAGAGATGTGTACGGGTTGTAAAGCATGGGCCACAGCATAGATGGCGTTGTAGATGCTGTAGCTGTGCCCATTCACTTTCATTTCAAAAAGAAAGGCGGGAAGACTGGTCAACTTCTCTTTTCCTATGCAAACTTCCCCATCCACAGTGCCAGCAAAACTTTTGGGGGGGATGCAGCAGAAGGTCTGGTGCCAAAAGTCCCTAAGAAAACCGTCCTCTTGGGGGCTCACGGGGTCCCTGCTGTTAAGAAATTGTTCAAATCCTGATAGATCGGCTGTATGGATTGTGAAACTTATAGCGCCATGGAATATTTCTGTGTCCCAAGTCATTTGACTGATAATGGACGTAAGCTCCACCTGAGCAGTTGATATCCACACTTTTCCTTTAAGTGTCTTTGTGGCAGGTAAATATGAAAGGCATCTAAAATACACAAAGGAATACGATTCTCCATAGGCCACTATTACATTAGCTGTGCTGCCCATCACTTTGTCAATTATCTTTGGTCCTTGTTCTAATAAGCCCGTGATTTCAGTGGTAAATGTTATCTTGGGGATTCTTTCTATGAAGGCAAAGCAGACACCCCTCTGAGAAAACTTTGGGAGCACACTCTGCACAATTCTTTCTCCAGTCTCTGTATCCATAACCACAGTTCCAGTCCATGTCCACCTGAAGTGCAGAAGCAAAGAAAGAATCCCCTCATTTTCCAGCTCTTGTCTAGGAACCATTTGGTAAAAAGGAAGGCCTGGGGCCTTATCAGGCATCACTGGAGCAGGACTATACATTAACTAAATGAGGAAAAGGAAAACAAGGAGAACCTACTGACATCAGCAGCAACAACAAGAAAAGCAAAACTAGAGTAGTAAGAGTATTTTTATATCTCTTTCATGCATTCTGAAATACAGTGGTGACTTGCAAGACGATTGCCTCATGGGGCAAAAAAACCGCAAGACGATTGGTTTTCGTGATCCCTATGGTGCTTCGCAAGATGGTTTTTTCTATGACCATGCTTCGCAAGACTTTTTTTTAGCCCCATCCTTCGCAAGATGAATAAATTTCATTTATATTGCGAGGTTCCCATAGGGAACCTCACAAGACAATTTTTTCATACGACAACGATTTTCGTGGAACAATTTTTTCATAAGACAACGATTTTCGTGATGTTGCATGTAGCAGTACATGCAACATCACCAGCCCTACCCATGACCTCGTCAGAAAGCACCAGCTAAGTGGCATCATTCAGGGCCATAAAAGTCAGAGCAATTTTTCATCCTCTGTAAAAAAAGGTGCTCTTTCATGACAGATCTTCTCAATCTATTTCAATCTATCTTTAAATTTTATTTAAAGAATGGCACTTCTTTCCTCTCAAACTTTGCCAAACATGGCAAAAAAGTGAAGTTCTGCAAATTGTCCCAAATCTTTCAGCACTATACAGTGTGATAGACTGTGCCACACACTCTGACAAACTGTTGTCAATAGATTTAGGTGCTACTATGGCCCATTTGTTCTAGTTCGGATCCTACTACAACCTATTTGTTCTACCATGTAGTTTTCAGAAGCCAATGCTGGAGGGCATTTCTCCTCTCCCTGCTATGACATTTATGTCAACAAATTCCATAAGGCTCTAGAAAACGCTGGGAGAAGACGCTCAAGAAGGTTGGTGGCTTGCTAATTTGGAATCTGACTGTAGGTCTGATGGGTCTGATGGCAATTTTAATTGTATTTTAATTGTATTTTAATTATTTTATCTTTTACTGTATTGACTTTTAATTATTGTAAGCCGCCCAGAGACCTCTGGGTAGTGTGGGCGGCATATAAATTGAATGAATGAATGAATGAATGAATGAATGAATGGATGGATGGATGGATGGATGAATAAATAAATAAATAAATAAATAAATAAA